AATAGAACACAAGCTCCCTCCTGCGGCGGCTGGAGGCGCCTTTCTGAGGCAGGCTTCAGGGCCCCACAGCTCAGACTCGGAGCCAAACCACACTGGGATCCAAGTAGGAGCCAGACTTTCCTCTGGTGTGAGAAGCTGGCAGAAGCCCAGTGTGCCTTGGAGACCATGCTTATGGCCACATCGTGTGGCAGGTGTTTTGGTGGCTGGCGGTCTCCTGCGGGCCTCGTCCCCCCCCCCCCGGGCTGCAGAGATACAGTTGACATGCTCAGCTGCCCTCTCCAGACACCTGTGCCAAAGTCACAGGAGGCCCTGGGGGCTGCACACTGGAAACCCTGGTCAAAGATGGCAAGGTCTCCTTGTGGTCTCAGGAATGATGGCAGGGCTGGGGGACTCCAGGTAAGGAAATAGCATGGCCTCGTTTCCCTAGGCTGTCCATTCCTCCCTGGGCTGCCCTTCCTGTTTCCCAGATCCTGTCCCTGCCTGTTGCTATACCCAGCAATATCTCCCACCCTTCTTGAGGCTGCTAGCTCTGAACCTCCAAGGTGCAAGCTCTGCTCTCCCCTGTGGTTCCTTTCATCTGCCTGGCTAGTGTCTGGCTTTTGGTAGGCAGAGCAATGAGCCCACAGAGGGATGAGGAAGCGGATTAGAAATGAGCAAAGATCTAGAGGAGAACAGAAGGGCCAAGGCTGTCTGCAGCACAAGAGGTGCTCAGCAAATGTCGAGGAGGGGAGGGGTGAGAGGCAAGTGGAATGTCCTAAGAAGGACCCAGTGGCTTCTTGGCACCGAGTTCTGGGAGGGGACTTAGGGGAGGAGAGACACCAGGCAGTCTCCTGGAGTGATTCACTGGCGCCACCTAGAGGAATGGTAGAGCTCTGATCGCTGGAAACAGGTCATGCCAGGAGCCAGGAACCCAGCCTATGCCTAAGTTGGGAAGTTCAGGCTCTACCAGCTCAGCAGCAGCACACAGAAGATTCTGGGCTTTGAGATGTGACAATATTTGTCCATCGGCTGTTGGTTAGGCACCACACTCCTGCTCCCAGGGCAGCCTTGTCCATGGAGGCAGCAGGAGTGGGAATATAGAGGAGTCTGTCCAGTGCAGGGAGGGATGCTCCTGGGTGGAAGTGTGGGGCTGGGCAGCTCAGGGATCAGCTGGACCTAATTGGGACATCATCTGCCAGGGGATAACAAGGACCACTGTGAGATGAGGCTTCGAGGTCATCATGGGCAATCAGCTCAGAGGCCATCCCCCCCCCCGGCTATATCCAGACTGAGGTGACACCCTATTCTAAAACACGCAACACACAGTGTACAAGGATGGGTGACATTGTGGGAAAGGGATGCCAAGCTCCAAGCAGGACAGAACTGGTTGCACAGAGAAGGGCTAGCTGCAAGGGAGCCAAACGCCCTCCCCAGCTTTCCGCAAACAGGAGGGTGGGTAAAAGCTGTCCCCAGGAGATCCCCCAGATGGGGCCCTGCTCTTGGTGATGTCTGTACATAGGGACATGATGTCTTTTCTCCCCCACCCCCACCTCCTGGGTCACAAACAAAACCAATAAGCTAAACCCAAGCTGTGAACTGACACCAGGCGGTGCTGGCTGACCTGCAACATGGGGATGGGCAGAGAACACACTAGGTGAGGGTTTTCTTTTACTTTTAGTTCTGAGTTTTTATTTTGGACTTTGGAGAAAAGTGTTTCACTGTCATCCAAACAGGCCTTGAACTCTTATCTTCCTGCCTCAGCCTCCTGCTTGCTCACATTTTACGCAGGAACCACTACTCCTGTTTTGATTTAGTGTTAACTTGTTTGATTTGGATTGGTTTGGGGTTTTTTTTGTTTGTTTGTTTGTTTTGGTGTTAGCTTTTTGAGGCAGGGTTTTTCTGTGCAGCTTTGGAGCCTGTCATGGAACTCGCTCTGTAGAACAGGCTGGCTTCGAACTCACAGAGATCCACCTGCCTCTGCCTCCTGAGTTCTGGGATTAAAGGTATCACCACCACCCCGCTTGGGTTTTTTTGTTTGTTGAGTCTCAGACTGGCTTTGAATTCATGAACTTCCTGCTTCTGCCTCCCTACTGATGGCTTACAATGAATAACACTATGCCTGGCTTGGGAAGGTTTTGGGTCTTATACTCAGCTTCCACAGCAGCCTCCCTCCTGGTAGTGGGGTCAATTCCACAGAGTGAGCAAGTTCAGCACGATGCCTGAGGTGTTGCCTGGCTCTAAAGCGTGGAAGCCTTTTAAGTCCCCAGAGGCTCCAGGACACCAACCAAACTGGTGAGGCAGGGAAGGAGACCCAGGGATCCTCAGCAGGAGGCGGCAGTGGTCTGAACTTCCAGTTCTAAGGGAGAGGGGACACCCTCTGCTGCTCCCCGAGAGGCTTTCTGGGGTTTTCTTCTGTGAATCCAAGTCAGGCAACCACTGGCCTGAACTCTGGGCCCAGCCACATAAAGAGTTCTATAGCTACCAGCCTACGCATCCTTCTCTGCTTTCCCAACCCCTTACCAGAGCCCAGCACAGCACCTCAATGTTCCACTTCAGCACGGCTCTTCTCTAAATGCACTCAAAATACCTGTCCATCACTCTGTGTGCCTGTCACCACACAAAGAGGCAGGAGGCATGTAGGAATAACTGGGACCGCCAGGAATGCTTGGAACCTCTAAGACTCAGGCCCTGCCCTGACTCTGTAGCCTGAGCAGTACAGCTGGGATGAGGGGCTTTCACCCTCACGCGAAAACTCTCAACAGCCAGAGAAAACAGGAATAAGGTAGCATCTTCCTGATTAAACCTTCTGGGACTTCCTTTTAGTTCAGAACCCAAGTTCCTATGATCTAGAAGGCATTTTGTTGAGTTGATGCCTGGTTAACCTCAAACGCCTCCTGTACAGGATGCCTGGAGCCTACCAGCCCTGCTCGGCCATAACCTCCTAAGCCTAAGTCCTCATGCGAGCTCACTGGCAGCAACATCTACCTTTTTGGAGGTGGGGGATGTGTGTGCTGTACATAAATGTTTACATGCGTGTGTGTGCGGGTGCATGTGTACATATGGAGACTGGAGGTTTACAGCAAGTGTTCTCTTTGCTTGCCTGCCACCTTATTTATACGGCAATCTCTTACTGAGCCTATATCTCACCCACCCATACAGGCTAGTCCAGCTTGTTCTGTGAATCCTGCCTCTGTCTCCCAAGTGCTGGGAATTACAGTTGGCTACACTCAATCACACATGGCTGGGGATTTGAACTCAGATCTTCATGTTTGACCAGCACAAGCTTTATCCACTTAGCAACCTCGATGCCCATGGCCCACAACTGCAGTCCCGATCCTGAACTAGCCCTAACTCTCCTCGGCTCATTTCTGACTGGAACTAAAGCTCGGAAGGCTGCGTCTTCTTGCTGCCTAGCACAACACTTGCTACACAGCAGGACTGTGGTCCCTGCCTAAGCCGAAGGGTTATAAGTAGAACAGGCAATGGATGGAGTCCATCCCCCTGCATCCTCTGGACTCCCTGATGTGTGTCCAGTTTGGGAATGACTAAGGGCAGACCCTTCTAGGCACAAGATTACTAACCAGAGTCTGCTTTCACAATGGACTTTCCCTCTCTACAGAGGAAATGGTGCCCAGACCCCCACACACACACACACAGGACTGGGGAAGATGGCCAGGAAGGGTTGGACCAGGTGAGTCTCCATCCCACCATCCCCTGGGCGGGAGACAGGGGCAGGTAGACTGCACAGGTAGAAGAGATCCACAGAATACCAAAATCTCTCCCCCAGTTTAAATTAAATGGGTGTCAGCCCACTGAAGTTTGCATGGGGGTAAAACAACCAAATTCTACCTCATCAGAACCCACCCCACGCTATTTCCCTCTGTAGCCATTCGGATGGGATAGGGCAGGGGTTGTTGGGCTCACACTCCTTCTAGGAGAATGCACAGGGACCCTTCTCTGCCCGGCATACACACCACACAAGCAGGGAGGTGTCTTTTATTAAAGATGCAAGCAAGCACAGAGTACCATGTGTGACTCCAGAACATCCATACAGTACTAAAAATAGAAAAATAGAAACAAAATTTCACAGAAAGCAGCCTTCCTTCCCAGACACACAGAAAAGGCGCTGCCATGCCCACCTCAGAGTCATGCACCCGGCCCACACAAGCTTTTCCCTGGACAGAGGAAATGCCAGCTACAACCAGACCTGCTTCAGAGACCACCCACTGCAGGCCCCTTCCGCAGCCAGAGTCTCCCACCACCACTCCGGCTCTTCCAAGCCTGATAAAGAACAGAACAAGTTAGTCCCCAGCAGGAATCTGCTGGTCCACCACCTCTCATCTGGCCATCACCTGGGCCAAATTTGAGCCAGAAGAGAGCAGGGGTAGGTGTGTGTGTGTGTGTGTGTGTGTGTGTGTGTGTGTGTGTGTGTGTAGCATACAGGACCATCGCTCCCTTAGACACTCTTGAAGGTCGAGGTGCCCACTCAGATGGGCAGGCTTGCTAATCCTATCCACATGGAGAACATCAACCCTGCAGACTAGGTCTCCTAGGTGAGAGCCTTGGCACAGCTGGAGAGCAAGTGACAGCAACTAGGAATTTTAGGACCATGCCATGTTGTATCACTTGCCAGTAGGAATGTGTCAGTCACCGCCTTGGGGACAAGAGAAGGCTGTAGCAGATACCAATTCTTGTGTCTGCGGGGGACTCTTGACACGCCATCGATGCCTTCAGATGCCTTCTGCAGCCTCAGGTCAGCTTCCCTCCCGGACCTTTCCTTGGGCTCTTCTGTACTAGGCTCCAAGAGCTGCGTGCTGGAGGTGTTTCTGAAAATGGCCTGGGACAGGCCCTGGCTTGGTGGCAGGATGGTTCTGGAAGACTGGCTAGACCACAGGCTAGACCCACCTCTCCAGCCCCCCCCCATGTGATTCCCAACCCATACTTTGATCTCAGAACAAGGTGGGGTGGCTATGCCTAGAGAAAAAAAAGAGTACAAAAATTACAGTGAACCCTGAGAGCTTCCTACCATCCTGGCACAGCTTGCTCCTGCTCGCCCATGGAAATGGACTTGCATTTGGTTGACGGATATTTATTTAGATTTCCAGTGAAAAGCGCTATAAAATACAGTGAGTAACGTGGGGTGCAGGGCAGACATTCTCGCTGCCTGTGCATGTGGCACGGCCACCACGTGGAGACTCAAATGCTACAGGCCAGGCGGCTGATGTGGACAGCATCACACTCCTCGCTCTCTCCACTGGGCTCGTCCCCTGCCAAACGTTTCCACGCAGCTTCCAGAGTGTGTCCAGCAAGGAATAAATGAACGCAAACAGGACTTTTAGCTAGTAGAGCGTCTGGGGACCGTGAGCATGCAAGTTCGCGGTTTCTGGTATTATAAATAAAAGTCAAACGTGAGGTCACACTTCCCCATCTTCTGTTTATACACTAGATCAAACTTCTCGTTCATGGAGACGGTGAAGATGTCTTTCCACAGCCCGACTCTTCCTGCAACACAGACCAGAGTAGAGCTGGCTGTACCCACCAATTTCAGGACAAAAGGAAGCCTTGGGAATGGATCCGGAAGTTTCCAGATCTGGGCCTAGACCCCTCTGAAACTTGACTTGCTGGGTGGGATGGGCCACCTGAGCTAGACCACATGAGTGTTGTTTGTGGTGAGACTTGACTGGAACCAATGTCCCTAAGCCTGGAGGGAAGCTTTCCTACTCCCGCCTTCTGGTAACTGTGCACCAAGCATCACACAGGACCACACCTGTGACCAAGAGGGACTTCACCCCATGCTCCGGTTTCCAGAACCTACCACAGCAGGTGTTCCCACCAAAAACCTGCCAGAGAGGAAGTAATGTGGGCTGAGGGCAGTTCTCTGAGGAGTCCTTGACTTACGGGTCCACAGCATCAATGGCTGTTGGCACAATAGCTGCCTCTGGAGAATGTGAAAAAGGTAAAAATAAAAAATTTTAAAAAAGCATCCCAAGGGCCAGGAGGAAGTCATCGAGGGTGGAGAATTCTAGAAGCCTAAACTCAAATCAAGTTGGATAAGGCTTAACATGAATGAAACATCCGTGGCACACGCTCACTTTTCAGGCTGGACACAAAGTGTGTCATACACAAAAATTCTGTACCACAACTCCAGAGGGAGTGTCCCCACAGCCCCAGCTGTTGTCCCAGAACCAGGCCAACATCATGGGGAGGATGGGATTAGGAGTTTGTAATCTAAACCTCCTATCCACAGGAATGGTGAGGCTGGGTGTCTTGGCTTTGTGCTTTTAAACAAGTGGGATTTGGGAGGAGGGGCGGTTCTGAAGTCAGAACTCTTGGTATCTCCAATAACAGCCTCAGCATTTGTCCCAGCAGGACTGCAGATCTGCAGCCACAGCCACGCCATGGCTGAGCTAAAACTCCTGGCACATCAGGGCTTTCTCTGTGGTAATGAGACATCATCTGTCTGTGTTGGAAAAGTAAAATAAAATGTTCTTGCCACCCTCTAATGATACCAAAGGGACCAAATTAGAAGCTTCTAGACCAACCACACTATAAATATAGTTTTCCACGGTTATTTTTTTTTTGCCCAGCTGAGAGCTTGTCAGAGGAGTCACCCACCTGGTTTAGGATTTGGAATCAAGACAATTTATGCTGTGACATGAACCAAATCTAAGCAATGCAGCCGGCTCCCCGAGCCCCTGCATCCTCGCCACCTCAAGGCGATCTTCTGAGTAAAGAGGCAATGTGCTAAAAGAAAACAAAACCACAGAACTGAAATAAAGCAAAACCAAGGCCGACGGTGACAGAGCAGACGCCTCTGAAGGAGTGTGAGGGCACTCAGCAGAGCACACGGGACCTGGCTGGCGCACTTTGCACAAACCACACACTCACCACATGCAAACCAAAAGGGGGCTGAGGAGGCGGTCACGGACAGGGTTAACGAAATCTGATGAAAGCGAAACTGAAGAATGGCAAATAAACTCAAAATAACAAGTGCCTGGGAAAGATGATGCAGCCAGGAGACACGGGACGGGATGAGGGATGCAGTGCGGTGAGCCGCTCTCTGGAGGACCAGTTGTTAGGCCTTCTCTAGCAAGGCCCTATACACCTGACCCTTAGCATCTTGCCTTTGGCCCCCAGCAGTCGGGATGTAGAGAAAGGTCCAGAAGCCATAGCTGCTCCACAGTTGAAAGAAGACACATTGCTGGAGGCAGCCAGGCTGCAATCAGAGCCAGGATTCTCTCCCCACCGTGGGCACCCTCCCCCCAAGTCCTAAGACCTTCCTTCATAGCTCCTGATCCCCTCAAAGTTTCCAAATCACACTGCTGGTGGCTGGCTTCAGGCCATACTTACCTGGAAAGGATTTATGGAACATGACCACTCCTGAGACTTCCTGGAACGTCAGTGCCTGAGCTGCCCCCACCGAGTGGCAGCTAACACACACCCTGATGAGCTGGGAAACTGACTCAGGGGCTCTGGGATTTCAACAGTGACCCGGTGACTCCGGTGTGCAACATCATCTCTAAAGTCTGCCTGCCCACCAACTGCCTCCTGCTCCTAAGGTGTCCCATCTCCATCTGGGCCACCTCCACAGAGCCCTGACTCTGACTACCCATGCTTGGCTGCCCTGAGGCTGGGTCATTTGTCTTCTCTGCCACTCGAAACCCAGAAGTCCCCTCCTACACTTGGCCAACATCCTCTGGGTCAGGGAGGGAAGAGGTCATGTCGTCACATGATATCCATCTTCTTGTCCACCCCAGCTCATGAGTAACAGCCACCAGAAGGAAGGCTGCTAAGTCAGTGGTCTGCCTGTATTGTAAAACACTCTGGCACCACAGCCCTGCCCTGGGTCTGCTCTGTGGGTATTTTACTTGAGCCAGGGGGAAGAGCTCTGTATGAACACATCTTACCCAGAGCCTAAACCAGCCCCAACAGCTGCTGCCCCCTTGAACTATGGCACCATCTGTGCAAGTGGACAGGGCCTGCCCTACTCCTGGAACACCATGTCCTCAACAGGCACTGGCCAGCAAGTGCTGCTGCCCAGAGAGAAATTAGTCATCCAGAAAGTCCCTGACAGACAGGGAATATCTGATCAGGGAGGAGGGAGGGGACACATACCCCGGCCCACAGGCAGGGCCTCCGCATTGCAACACTGGTCCACCAGCTGGTGACAATGCTCGGTCAAGGATTCCAGCTGGGCCTTGTCACAGGACACACCCAGGAATCTGGCCAGCTGCTCCACCATGGTCACCAGGTCCTAGAAGACAAGGACAGACAGCAGAGCAGCCCCTCAGAGGCAGCATCCAGGGCACAGGGTTGAGCTGGAAACCACATTTGTGGCTTCCTTCCTCCGCACTCAGGCAACCAGTTGGGTACTCAGCCAGGAGGTGATGCTGACTGGGGCACTAGCATCAAAACCTGCAAGTCATGGATTTGAACCCATGGCTCTGGGAAGAGGAGGGAAGTGTGGGGATACAAGGAAAAGGTCTTGAGAGCTGCAGCTTGTTTATAAACAGCAACTGCAAAGAACATCCATCTCTGGCAAGATTCCATTGCCACCTAGCTTCTGGAATACACACACACACACACACACACACACACACACACACACACGTGCTCCAGTGTCCTGTGCCCCACCTCACCTACTGGAAGGTGGCCTGAGGAAAGTAAGTCCTATTAAGTTGTTCACTGGACACATTTATAGACTCGAAAGTGCCAGCTGAAGGCAGAACACAGCTGGAGCAGACACACCACTGTCCCCTACAGCAGCCATGTTCTCCCTAGGAAATGTTGAGGCACCTCCTATTCCCAGTGGGATCCCTGAACCATCACTCCCAAGTCCCTAAAAGCCTGTTGGTCAAACATTAGGAAAATGGTGAAGGGTGTTTCCTCTCAAGAAGGAACTCAGCACCTGAAGCCTCGGGAGGTCCCAGCTAGATACAGGCATGGGAAGTGGAAGAAGTTCTGATTGAATGTGTGTTAACCCCAATGCCTCAGACCAATGGGAACAGCAAAGCCTTCTCCTGGTCCATGTGTGGATGCTGACATATGGACAGTCTTCCTCCCTCCTTCTGGATGTTTCTGTCCTGAGACGGCATCCCTACAGAGACCACTACCAACATTAACTAAGCCTGCCTCCTTGTCCAGCTGCATACGATAAACCCAATGAGTGCATGTCCCACCTGACCCCAGATTTTCTGTACGTGTGTCTGTGGTTTCTCCATTCCCCAGCACCCCAGTTAGGTCAGTCCCTAAAGCTGTGGAAGGTTGGGGTGCACACTGGTTAATTAATGTTTTTAACTTTAACAGGCTGTGGAGGAAGTGTCCACTCCTCCGTGGACTCCTGCAGCGCCCGCCCACCCACCCACCTCGCAGGCTTGATCCTGGTGTTCTTCGTCTCCCAAGGGCACATAGTCCCCAAGTCCCGTGCACAGGAATGATACTGGCGGTTAAGTGAACAACAGGGGTCAGGAAAAGCACAAAGGAATGAAGAACCCACTCCTATGAACCCTGGCATTCAAATGGGTAGAAGAACGAAAGAAATAAAACTGGCCCTCAAAAGAAATCATCCAAGGAAAGGGCTGCAGGCTATGAGACAGATGAAACAGATGGCGGAGATGCTCTGCAGGCGGCTCAGCATCCACACATCCTAGGAGGGTGGACGGCTTCTGCATCTGGTCATATGTTAAAGGAGGCTGTTGAATGGTTACCAGGCCAACTTAAGTGTACACCTCACTCCTCTGAGCTGCACTTTCCACCCATAACATGGACCAGAGTGCGCACCAGCCACCTGTCATTATCAGGAACCTCATTAGTGAGAGATTACCCCTCAGGGTGACTGTGAGGATGAAGGGAGGCTTACCTGGGGTACCTGGGCATGAGCCACCAAGACAGGACTGGCAGCAGTGAAGCAGGTGAAGCAGTAAGGGGGAGATGAGGGGCTGGAGAAGTAGCCCAGAGAAGAGAGTATTTGCTACACAAGTGTAAGGACCCGAGTTCAGATCCCAGAACCTGATTAAAGCTGGATGCAGCAGTAGCATGTATCTGCAGTGCCCGTGCTCCTACCGAGAGGTGGGCACCAGACAGGAGAATCCCCGCAAGCTCATGGGCAAGCCAGCCTGGCATGCTCCACAGAGAACAAGAGACCCTGTCTCAAGCAAAAGGTGAAAAGCGAGAACCAGAGATTGTCATCTTACCTCTATATTCTCAGTGCAATAGTACAATGCACAAACCTTGACTCACTCACATACATAAAACACATACTCCCAAGTACACACACACACACACACACACACACACACGGAAAATTCAACTGTGGAGAGTACCCAGCTCTGCCTGCAACACCAAGACCTATTCTACAATCTGGAAATGCAGATACTCATGGCTAGTTTTCTACAGTAACATGAGAACACGAATTCCTAAAAATGTAACCTTAGGGGATGGAGGGATGGCTCAGAAGTTAAAAAGAGCTTGCTGCTCTTCCAGAGGACCCGGGTTCAATCCCTAGCACTCATAGGATGGCTCACAACTGCCTAACTCCAGTCCCAGGGGATATGGTGCACTCTTTTGGCAACTGTGGGTACTGCACACATGTGGTACACAGATGCAATCAAAACACCCAGACACATAAAATAAAAAGTGTAAAATGAAAGCTGGGTGGTGGCAGTGCACACCTATAATCCCAGCACTTAGGAGGCAGAGGCAGGCAGATCTCTGTGAGTTTGAGGGCAGCCTGGTCTACAGAGTGAGTTTCTGGACAGCCAGGGCTGCATGGAGAAAGCCTGGCTTGAAAAAAAATAAACAAACAGGCAGAAGTAATCTCAGGCCCCTAATCTCCATCAAAGATATTCCTAACTATAGGTGAGGTTTCTGGAAAAATCCACAATGCTGATTAGGCACTAAAGCAACTGACTTCAGTGGCTGGATACAGTTGAGTGCATCCCTCAGGGAGCACCTGTTATAAGCTTTGTCCCTGGGATGATGCTGATGGAAGGTAGGTTCCTAAAAGGTAGGAATCAGGGGCTGGAGAGATGGCTCAGTCAGTAAGCACACATACTGCTCTTCCAGAGGACTGCAGTTCAAGTCCCAGTCCCCACGTCAGGTAGCTCACAACTGCTTTTAACTCCAGCTTCAGGGGACCTAATGTGCCCTCTTCTGGCCTCCACAAACACCTACACTCATGTGCTCAAACCCACATGCATATACAGAATAAACAATAAAAATAAAACAACTTTTAAAAGGCAGACAATAGCTGTGTGTTTGATTAAAATGTCACCCACAGGCCCAGGTGCTGGAGCTTGGTCCCAAGCTTGCGGGACTGTTTTTGGAAGCAATAAAAACCAGGAAGCCTGGCCTAACTAGAAGAAATAGTCACCAGGGGTGGGCCTTTGAGAGGAACCTCCAGCCTCTGGCCCCTCTTGGCTTCCTGATCTCTGTGAAGTAATCAACCCCTGCAGCATGCCCCTACCCCACTACAGGGTCAGAATCAAATCAGACCATGGACAGAATCCTCTGAAAGTGGATCATCAATCTGTGGTTCTCTGCACACGTGGGCCTCCAGGCTACCTGGAATCTTCCCATGGGTGTGGGGTCGCGACCCTGAGATTCTCAGCCATCAGCAGTCAGTGAGGTTATCTGCCTGGTGCCCATTGTGCTCCCTAAGTTTTCTCAGTAGGACAGCTGGGTCCCACCAAGCGGTGGGCACCCTCTGTGAGGACAAACTCTATGGCAAAGCCGTCCCTATGCTTCCTCTGCAACATGTTTTCTGATATTCATAGGCCCTAAATGCACAAGCCCAGCCTAGAGTCACTGCAGAAAGAACACCTAGGACAGGGTACCAGGAGGCGGTGGACGCTACACCACCACAACCTCTTCTCCGCTCTTCTCTGTTCAGGAGCCATCACCACCAGGGTCCCTTCATAAGCCACTCAGAGTCTTCAGCATGTTCCTGACCAGATATCCAAAGTCATGTTCAAGCCCACACAGGGCTGTGTCCTTCTCTAACTCCACCTCCAGTCTGTCTGACCTCTGTCCCAGTCCCTCCACTGACCATCACGTTCCTCCAGACACAGTAGGCAGTGTGGCTTGTCCCCGGTCTGCCTGGTTCAGAACCTCCAGAAGACATTTGAGCCTGGCTCCCTGCAGCCCAAGGCCTGTGTATTTTTAGGGACTGCAATGAGAAGCAGCAGCTTCCCCTGCTCCAGCAAGGGCCTGCACAGGCTTTTTTGACTTTCAGTGCCTTGTGGCACTCCTGGTCTTCTTGTGGAAGGGGGGTAGGTGGCTCCACCCTGCAGGTTATTTTATAACTCAGAAAGCAATGGCCTGACACATGAACACACATCCAAAGGAACGGCAGGACAGCCATGACAAGGTGGCCTCTGAGCAGATGAGAAAGTGGAGAGAGGGCAACCTATGTAGGTCTCGGAAGAACATTCTAGATGGGCAGAGCAAATGCACAGGCCTGAAACACAAGCTGGAGGGGCAGGTTCAAGCAATAACAAGGTGATGGTGGGGGATAATGTATCCAGAGACTAGGGAGCACTGCGGAGGTCTGATGATTGTCCACAGCAGCATGGGCTGTGGCTTGATAAGTGGTAATGCATTTTAGCACCAGTAGGCACAGTTGCTAAGATGAGGACTTGATGGATAGGCTTAGAAGGGAGCCAGAGGTCAAGTCTGGGATTATGCCTCCGTAACAAGGGAGAGATGCAGACATGGACAGAAAGCCAGGCAGACCTGGGCACGAATGGTTGGGGAAGTGTGAGGATTTAGGGACGGAGCCAATGGAACATGGGACACAGACACACAGTGTAAAAGAGACAGTGGGAGAAATAAGAGAATTCCACCTGAGCACCACTGGAAGGCAGAGGGGCTGCTGAGGCCGTGAGGGGCGGTGTCAGAGGCTAGCTTGGGTTCTAGCACCAGCGGGTCCTGGCACCATGGACAGCTCCAGCACCATGGACAGTGTCCCTCGGCTCGCTAGGCAGCATCTCTCTGGCTACTCACCCGGTGCATGTCTTCATACTTGAGGAAAAGCACATTTGCATCCATACGATGTTCCCAGAATTCCTGAACATGCTCAAACCAGGATCCATAGCCCACTGTGGAAACAGGGAAAGGGTCACAGTTGGAGAGGGAACTGGGCAGGTGATCTTCCCCCTCTCCTCTCCCGCTCCCAGCCACGGAATGCCCTGCTCCTACTCAGATGCTGTGAAGGAAACTGCAGGGTCTCCTAGAAGGAAGAAACCATCAAAGGCCCTCCCCCCTCCTGCTCCTGCCAACCATATGTCAGCCCTACCCAGCCCGAGCATAGATGCCCTGAAGACCTGACAAGGCAGAGGATGTGGTGTGCGCACTAGCACCAATGGGTGAAAACAACCGTCAGAGAAGTCAGGACAAAGAGATAGGTAGGGTACACTGCGGTGTGGAGTGCTTAAAGACAGCTCCAGAACAAGGCCCTGCTCCATGACTTCTGGTTGACTCTAGGCATTCCCAGTGAAACTTGTGATCTAAAGACAGATGGGAGCCCCACATTGTCACACAGGCAACCAACAAGTGCCTCAGCACGGCCCTGCCTGGTCAGAGCACCAGATCAAGACTGGGCCCTTAGCAGGCATGAGAGGACTCGGTCTAGTCTATAACCAATATCATATTCCTTGTGACAAGTTCCAATGTGCACCCATCTCTTTGGCTGAGCTGTGCAGCCCTGTGATGGTCTTCGTGACACACTTCCATGGGGGTTCTGGGGCAGGATTCTGCAAGACACTATACAACAGCTCTAACCTGTTAAGCAACAGGAAGGGACCAACTATATGAGACACAGGGTTAGCAATGGGGCTCCACTCTCCAGGCTCCTTATACAAACTCCCTGGGTAAGGAGTCATCTTCGGGCACAGTGAACCTGCACAGGCACACACCCCACTCCAATGCACCTGGAAGACCTCTGCAAACTCATCTTAGAAAATCTGCTCACTATACACAGAGCTGAGTCTCAGGAAAGGACAGGGGCAGAGCAGGGCACAATGGGGCCTGGACATTAATCTGGATCCATGTGTTCAGCTGAAGCTGAATCCAGGCAGATGAAGTCCTGGGGCAGGAGGAAGGCAAGCAACCTAGTAAAAAAAAGGGGGGCCTCTCCCCACTCCCAGAGAAGACACAGGACTTTCAAATGGTCTGGACCCCATTGGGTCACAAAATGCTGTACAAGGAAGGCCAGCAAGGACCATGAACAATGTTAAGGCATGCTGACTGCTACTAGGGATGCCAAGAGCACCCCCATTGCCTCTGCACCTGGGGTCACAGAGGAAAGAGACGCATGTGTGCGGATGGTAGTTAAGCCTCCAGAGAAGGGGCCCTGCCATGACCCCTTGCTTCTCTCTGCACTTCACCCTGCTGAGACCATGAAGCCTGCAGATCCAAGGCCTGCAGGCTAGTATAGCTCAACACAGCCCCCGCGTAGTAAGAGGTCGCCTCTGGAGTACTCTTCACGCTGCATGGGTCAGTGTCTGTCCACAGCCAACACAGTATCTGTCAAGTGACCTTGTCCACAGACTGTCCCCCATGTGTTTGTGCCATAGGGAGACTGTCCACAGAGCGTCACCAGACTGCATCAGTGGTCCAGAGGTTTCACACAGCATATCACTTGACCTGGGCATTCCTTAACCTCAGCCCTGAAGTCTCAGGCCACCAACATGCCAATCCTTCCTCACAGTGACTGCTACTCTGCTCTGCCCTCTGCTCTGTCCAATACTGGGGACATTAAGCCCAGGGCCTGATATGCTAGGCAAGCATGCTTAAATCTCCAGCCTTCTTCCTAGCTTTCTTTTTGAGATAAGGTCTCACTAAGTTGAATAGGCTACCCTTGAATTCACTCTGCAGCCCAGGCAGGTCCTAAAACTGCCCACTTCCTGCCTTAGTCCCCAGGCAGCTGGGATTACATCCCTGTGCCACCATGCTTTCTAGGAAATACGGTTGTTTTTAATGAATGATCCTTCTCTTAGATGTCACTTTCTTTGAACCTTGGGCAAGGAGGAAAGGCTACCAGATTGTGGTCACTGAGTGGCTAAGAGTAGAGGAAGGGGCATGAGCACCCAACGTCATACACTCCGAGAAGGATGCAGGCCAGAGTGCATGGCCTTGACCTCTGGGACTTGGTACTGTGAACAGGGAAACCCGTGTTAGGGCAGACGTTAACAGCTCTCGCTGAGAATACACCAGGCTAAATGTGGCAGACTCTTGCTGTCACTACGGAGCCTTTCCCACACACCTGTGAGACAAGAATGGGTGCCAGGACTAGAAGATACGATGCGATGCTGTGAGCCAGAAGGGAGCTGTTCAAACACCTAGAAGGCTGCAAAGGGCATCCCAATACTGCACAGGAAAAGAAGCTGGGCAGGGCCTGCAGCAGGCTCAGGGACTCTGGGGAACAGGTGCTGCCATTTCTCACCACCCATGTGACCCAGCCCAGGGCACAGCTGAAATGATATCTAACAGGAGGAAACAGACCATTGGGGGGCCTCTGGTTCCTGTGGGTTTCCAACTACAGGCAGTCCAATGTGCCTGATGCAGCCCAGTCCACTCTACGGGACCTTGTCTACACCACTGCCTGAGTAGGGAGCTCCTGGAGGCCCCCTGGAGCCTGCTGTACTTGAGGCTTCACTCTGACAAATTCTATTCTCATCTTGCCTCAAAGCCTCCCTGCAGGACCCCCGATGAGCCTAGGGCTAGGACTGTCTCAGAGTGGACTAATGAAAGCATGACATAAGCCCCTTTCCTATGACTGGGTGCACATCACAGTCCCTTGCCGGCCACAAGACTCAGAGATGTAGAGGTGACAGGGGCAGGTGGGAATACAGCCAAAGAGAAACGGCTACAATGGCTCCAAGGAGACAGGTGGTCTGCGGGGTGAAGAAAGACAGTGAAGGGAGATGGGGCTGCTTCCTCCTATAGTCCCTGACTTCCTGGAAGACCAGTGGGTGGGGTAGCCAGGTCCTGCTCCTCCTGGGTCAGGATAGCATTCAGCCCAGCACACCCTGCTCCCTAAGTGTGCTGTTCCCTGTCACTACCTGGCCTCTGAAGTCCAACCCTCCCCCCATGAGTCACACCCAACAGCAGCTTTCACCATTCAGAGCACCGGAGATTCGAGATCCGAGATCCAGGCCTCTGAGTTCACAGTTTTCATTCTCACCTCGTTAAGAACCCAGGCAGGAAGGGCAGGTGAGTATCTAGAGAAGCCTCAGGGTGGTGGGGGACAGGACTGTACTGCTGCAGGCCACCTCTAAGATCCACAGCTCCATAGCCTCGTCACCTCTGCCATGTGGTAATAACACAAGCCCCATCTGCACAGCGGGCTCCCAGAGGTGCGGGCAAGGTGCCGTTTCAGGTTACACCTTCCAGGAACCCCCAGCGTCGGCTGGTTTTTGTAAGGACAGAGCTCACCCCTGCTGGCACTTACATTTATCGTTCATGAACCGCCGGCAGAACTCCTGGAAGGTGCCTCGGTAGCTCATGGTCCTCAGCGAGCGGTGGAATTGATAGTAAGACACAACCAGGTCCTTGGGGTTGCGAGCCATGTAGATGACCTGTGGGTAGCAGAAGAATGGCTCACTCCCCCTCCTCTGGCCCGGGCTCCTCTTGCTCGTTCCCAGCATGGATATGCTCTGGTCCATGGGCCGAGCATGCCGGATAAACATATGACTATCTTACTGTACTACTTTACCTGGGCACTACTGTAATCAGTAGGAGACAGATGCCCTGGTGAGGGCTGGTGGTCTGGAACCTTATGAATGAGGACAGAGACAAGAACATGAAGCACCATCCTCCAATGTAAGAGAACACCCCTCACACCCTGGTACGCATGGAGAAAACACTATAGACATGATCCAAGACGGACCCTGGGTCAGGGGTAGAGGCACCTGCCATGGTTTTAGAAGCCTGGGATTCTTTTTCTTTGGGGGATGTTTCAAGGCAGGGTTTTTCTATGTAGGTTTGGTGCCTGTTCTGGGACTCGATCTGTAGCCCAGGCTGGCCTCAAACTCACATCGATCCACCTGACTCTACCTCCCAAATGCTGGGATTAAAGGCATGTGCCACCCCCACCCGGCTAAGCCTAGGATTCTTAATGAGGAAGTGGAGGATGAGAAATGTAGATAGGTTACCTTGGAGTCCCCATTGTGGAGGTCAGAGGGCAGGAAGCGGTAGGGGAGGTGACTCTTGATGAGGCGGGGAGATGTCAGTTCCTACAGAGAGAGATACGGCTGTCATATTCACATACATGTGTGAACATGTGTGCACATGCATGCACACACACACTCCTTCCCTCCCAGGGCCTTTCCAACTGCTCTGGGAGGATCCTGACCAAGCAGGGCTCAGTACATGCTCTAACCAGCTATCCACTTGAGCCATCTAGACATGACTCACAGGCGGCTGGATCCCAAAGAGCTGTAATGAGAATCCCAGTCCCCAGCCTTGGGGGCGACTCATTACAGACATAGGGATTTGGCTTGAGTGGCTGAGAATGAAGGAGGGTCTGCGGGGCGGGAGAAGCACAAAACACAGGCATAAAATAGTGCCTGTAAGAACATGGGGGTGTCCCAGCTACCCTCCACTCTGACCTCAGCAGCCTTGAGGATCACAGACAGTGGCTTTCCCTCAGCCCTCTGCTCAGAGGCCCTCATCCTGTCAGCTTCCCCTTGGACCATGAGTCTTGGTGTCCATTTAGCCCTCCGCTCCTCTCTTCCTTCTGAAAACTCCTCAGATGTCTGCTGCCTCCTAACCCACCACCCCAGCTCTGCAACCATCACAACTTCCTGTCCGGAGGTGGGAACTGTCAGCTCACTACCGCACAAGGGGCAGCGTGTGGGGGCTCTTAGAGCAGAGACACTGCACACTCCCAGTGTTTCCCGTGGCGGAGCCACTGTGACCCGGCACAGACTGCAGACAGGAGGGCAATCTGCGGGTGCCAGGCCCAGTTCCAACCAAGAGCGGGAGGAAATCTGCTGCCGTGATATGTGGACAAGCCTCTAGGGGACAGACTCCGAGGGCTCATCAAACAGACAAGCAGGCAGAGGCAAGGGTTGCAAGGCCTGAACTACAGGGCCAGCAGTGAATGGAATGAAAAGAAAGGTCCAGATACCTCTACGGGGCAGAATACACAGGACCTCTTACTGTTGACACAGGCTCGATCTCATCATTCAGCCCAGGTTGGCCTCAAACTCATGTGCTCCTCCTGTCTCAGCCAGCCCAGTTCTGGGGCAGTAGGGAGAAGCCACCACACCTAGCTAGTTTCATTTCTGATACCATGGATTTTATTCAAACACATCCACCCCAGCTCCCTTGACAGATGAGGGAGCTGAGGCCTTCTTCCCTACTGGTCGTCCCTCAGCCAATGACCAATCAATCACGTGCAGTTATTTCCTCCCCACCTCCCAGACTCCCTGACACTGACATCAGTCACTTGTACCTGACTGTCCCAGGGTCCTTAAGGACTCAGGTTGAGTTAAGGACTCAGACCCATCAATTTCTCCCTCTTGGCTAGCTAGAACTTCCTGGAGGCCCTCAGCTGTTGTTGCCATGAGCACCCATGAGTCCCCCGAGAAGCCACTGTCACTGGGCGGGTGTAACTGTGGAGCAAGGGGTCCCACGGGTACCTTGATGATGTCCAGCCCCGGCTGTGGGTACTCCAGCACTGGCAACTGTTCATCAATGTTCATCAGGCCAATCTCGTCAGGGTCGGCGCCCTGGCTCACCAGGTAGACCACCTCCTGCAGCAAGCTTGTACCTGGGCAGAGAGGTAGAAAAGGGGGCTCAGGGAAGCCACCGGGCCAGCCTTACCGTCAATGAATCTCCTGCTGCCTGAGAAGCAGGCACAGGGCTCAATGAGCACTGAGCAACCCTGCAGAGGGACCCAGAGAGAGCCCCAGACTGAGTGTAAGGCTTCAGCCCACCACAGCTGCCGGTGCCCAGCCTGCAGCCTGCAGCCTGCAGCTTTCCTCGGCATTCATGGGGGCAGGACAGCTGGGAAAGCAAGCAGATGTTCCTGCACTCACAGGCCATGGTGGGGACTGCTCTCAACGGAGGCTTCCGGGAGCTGAACTTTCCATTGGATTCATGAGTGACCAAGCTCAGAGGGGAGGGTGTGGCCTCAGCCCCCACAACTGATTCCTTCATCTGCCCAGTGACTACTAAACTAAGCACACACGCCATCCATGCTCCTGGAACACATTGAGGGAAACCAGCCAATAGGTGCATTCCAGATCATTCCTGGCTTTGTCACTCATGAAACGCACAAGCCCTGACAACACACTGGTGATCACACAAGGGGACACAGTGGCAAGGAAAAATGAACACGTGATACCCAACATGGAGGACCCAGGATCAGCAGCACCACGGTGAGACTCTGGCTAATCCTTTGCAAAATGAGCTGCAAGAAGCGAGACCAGGGACCACATGAAATAGTCACTCACTCAGAGCCACAGAGGTGGACCAGCGTCTCCCATCTCTCACTGCACCTCTTGGGAGGCATGTGGAAGCTGGAGTCAAGCGGAAACAGAAACCACCTCAGCCTACGGCAGCCTGCTCTATGCCAACTGCTCCCTAAGACAGCAGGAGTCGGCCAAGGCCAAGGACAGACCTGAGCCCACACCATGGGCCTTGCAATGCAGACAGGAACCCACCAGAGGACAGTGGCCCACAGGACTAAGGACCTGTGATTAAACCCCCATCTCCCCAGAGCAGCATGACACAGATAGGTCCCCTGCTGGATTTGGGGGCCGACCCTCTCCTCAGACCCAGGCCCACTGTCTCTGACCTCAGTCACTTTCACAACTTCCCATGGTTCACAGCAAGGCCCAGGCAGCAGAGTCACGCCTCAGCCTTCCCTCGCCTCAAAAATGCAGCCTCTGGCGTAGATACAGTGTTTCCAGCCGCAAAGTCTGCCTTCTCAGAAGCCCCAGGATCACTCAGAGACCATGATGCCATCTGTACCCTCGCTGCACTCCCACCACGCTGAGCCTGGCAGCCCCCACTGCATTCCAATCGCTGTGCGTGAGTCATGAGCACCATGCTGCCTGGGCTCTGCTGGGCACTCAGTCTGAGCTGGGGTCCCAGGGCCAGGAAGGCCAGCCAGTCAACAGTCATCCGGGAGCCAAGGGAGGCAGGCAGACAAGTCTGCAGTTCTCCAGCCCCTGCCTAGGCCCTGTGCCCTCCAGTTCCCAGGGCATGGGACCAGGTACTACCCAGAAAGCTAGGCCAACCTCCCATGAACTCAAGGAAGAGAGGAACACAGCTGAATACACTGTCCCTTCACAGGGCTTTGGTCCCTGTGGCTGGTCCTTCCTCTCTGGCCTTTCCTAAGTGGCCTTATGCAGCCCCATCCACAGCAAGCCACGTCTTGTGGATAATGTATACATTCCACAGGCCAGCAGGGGTGGGGTGGCTCCTCTGTAAGAGCCCTTTCTCCCGACCTCCTTTCTTTACACGTCTATTCGAATGTCACCCCTCAGCAAAGGCCAGTCAGTCATCAGCTGCTCTGTCCTTCATGCTAGTCCTGCTGTGCCAACAGCCCAGGAGCCACCCACCCGTGACCTGATCTGAGCTCTAGCCAGAAAATCAATTTGTTTCAGTAGTCCATCCATCCTTCAAGGCCCTGCCATCTAGACACAGTTCACACACTGAGCAGGTAGGATGGACAAGGGGCGGTGGAGGTAGCAGAAAACAAATCTACCTGGGAGGCTGGGCGGTGGTGGTGTATGCTTTTAACCCCAGCACTCAGGCGGTAGAGGCAGGTGGATTTCTGTGAATTCAAGACCTCCTGGGCTAAAGAGTGGGTTCCAGGACAGGCTCCAAAGCTACACAGAAAAACCCTGTCTCAAATAAATAAATAAATAAATAAATAAATAAATAAATAAATAAATGAAAATTAAAAGTCCACCTGGGAGGAAGTGGCCAGAGCACAGCACAATAACACAATAACACAGCAGTTGTCCAGTAACACAGTGCACAGTGGTCACACAGGGAGGGTCCTAGGCCATAGCTGGAGTAGGAAGATCTCTCTCTCTCTCTCTCTCTCTCTCTCTCTCTCTCTCTCTCACACACACACACACACACACACACTTACAAATGAGGCTGGAAGGCCAGAAAGTGCCAAGGCCATAGACCCTGGTGAGGCAAGCCCGCTGGTACCTCCTGGTAAGCAGCTAGCTTCTCAGAAAGGTCCTGACATGAGTCTCTCCTGGGCCATCTTTTTTTCTTTCCCGAGACAGGGTTTCTCTGTAGCTTTGGAGCCTGTCCTGGAACTAGCTCTTGTAAACCAGACTGGCCTCATCCTGGGCCATCTTTATGGTCTATTTTTAATGTACCCCTTCCTGACTTCAGCCCACATAGGCCCATGTCCTAAACAGACCTGCGCTGTATTTCAAAACAGCTCCATCCACAAGCCCACCCTTCCCTCTGCTATGTATTTGTGCTAGGAACACAACGCGTCAGAGCCAAAGTAGCCATTCACCTGCCAGCCACGCATGCACACGCGGGCAGCAGATTCAGCGGGTGGTGGTGGTGGTGGTGGTTGTTTTTATAAGCCATGAGACTGGAAAGAGAAGGTATGGAGGAGCTCTGGGGTATATGGAGAGGATAATCAGATGAGTATGACCAAAATACATTTTATACACGTATGAAATTTTCTGCAATAAGTAAAGCTATTATATTTTTAAAAAAAGAAAAACTAAACCTCCCTTTGGAGACACAGGAAGTGACCTGCTCAGGTCAAGGCTGCTCAGTGGCTGAGCAATTGTGAGTACGTAGACTGTGGGTATTCCCCAGCTGGGATGGTCACACATGAGGACACGTTGCAGCTTCATGTCACATGGTTCATAGGCTGGGCCGGCCTGGATGACAGCCCATGTGAGTCTACTGGTCACCAACGGGGCCTCAGGAACAGGGTATACAGATGCCAGTCTCCCAGTGTGTCACCAGTGCAGAGGGACTGGGAAAAAGCAGGACCAGGGGCTGAAGCCAAACCTCCACAGGTACCTGGGAACAAGAGCAGCAAGGGCAGAGCAGAGATGATGGGACACTCTGAAATACACAAAAGAAGATGGGGCCTCCCATGCTGCCTAGACAAGGGAACCCCTGAGCTACCAGCCTGCTGTACCCCAACAGACACAATCTGCAGGGTAAACAGCTGTCACTCGGGAACACGGCCAGACTCTCCATGGGCTCTGTGTGTTAGTGGACCAACGCCATCGTTCACAGCTCGCCATCCACAGGGGACACAGCCAACGCTGAACAGCAAATCAACGCCCGGTGGTGGCCAACAGGGCACTCTAAGTCCCAGATCAAGATGTATGGGAGGCCCTGGACCTCGCTTAATCTTCCTACTACCTGTCTTTGTTTTATTAAACTTTTCTCCTCCTTCACGGCCACTTCCTCAGCTAAACCCCGCAATCTAACAGTTACTATCCCAGCTCTTAGGCGTCCCCTCCCAGGACTTCCCAGAGCCCAGGGTACTCCCGCCAATCTCTCCTCCAGGCTGCTTCTTCTGAGATGGCCTCGCCCTCACTCTCTAAGGACAAAAGCCATCACGGCATGGGAGGGGACACCTAAGACACTTCTCAGCGTCTTCTTCCTGCACTTAAGGGTTTGTGTGTCTCTGCCATCCTATAGGAAACCTCACTATACGAGCTGGGACCCTTCCAGGTGGGAGTGGGAGGTGAAAGCAGCTAAGGGGTGGGGCCCAGGTGTGCGTACATGTGAGATGTGGGGGGAGGAGAGATAGAGACAGAAACAGACACATACACATACAGAGAGAGACAGAGCAGAGACAAGGACAAGTAGGCAAACACAACACAAGCTGCCCAGCCTATCTACTTCCCTAGCGAAGATCTGCCATCTCTAGTCCCTATGGGTCTCTACTATCCCACTGGTCAGTTCTTTGGTGTCTGTGTTCCCAAAGATGTGTACCTCCAACCTCTGGCAAGGGGCTTTTGGGGGAGGGGGGTAGGATCCTGTCAAGGACAGGTGAGGTTAGCAACCTCACTTCTCAGAGTACACCTTCCACTTGACCCCCACGGCTAACAAGGCCTGCACCCGCATCTCCACGACCACAGTCTTTTGGAGTCGGCAACCCCAAAGACACCCCATGGGGTGCCCATTTCACGATTCCCAGGGCTCTGCAATGGGAACTACCCTCCTCATCTTCAACCATCGCCTGCCCAATCAAGCCTGATCTTCTAGACTGTCTACTGCCCATCACTCCTAGAACAAGGAGAGCTCTGTCTGCACTGTGTTCCATCTGCCCCACGGAGCACCCACCCGGCTATCTGCTGAGGACCTCTCTTCCCCCAGCTGGCGACTGGAACAAGGTGAGATGGCACCAGCCAACTCCGGGACGTACCCCACCTATGATGCAGAAGCTCAGGTTCCCCTCAGCCTGAGAGACAGAAAGATGGTCCCAAACCCACTGGGCATCCTTTCAGTGGCATCCTTGGAACCCCACTAGGCACCAAGAGGAAGTAGCAGATCCAATCACCAAGTACGACTGGCTCCTTCTAAGACAACACCACGTGGCTGTGCCGCACTGGACCCCACCACCTTGCCACACTACAGAAACCCCCCAAACCTGGAGCTCTGTCCCTAATTTACTTCAGTTGTTAACATAGCCTATAGGCAGATGAGGTCTCGACTGAAGGATTGCCCAGCTCACACTGGTCTGTGGTCCTATCTGTGAAGGATGGTCTTGACATGGGGCCCCACCCTGCCCACTGTGGGCAGCACCATCCCTAGGCAGGTGGTCCTGGGCTGTTTAAGAAAACCAGCTAAAAAGCATGGATGAGAGTGAGCCAGCAAGAGGTATTCCTCCACGGTTCCTGCCTGTAGCTCCTGTGCTGGATTCCTGTCCTGACCTCCCTCAATGATAGACTAGGACCTGAACTGCAAGCCAAATAAACCCTTTCCTCCTCCAGGTTACTTTGCTCAGGGTGATTTTATCACAAGAGAAAGCACACAGGGATGCCCAGTCTGGTCCTCCAGTGACTCTAGAAGTGAAGGAAAGACATCAATCACTCCTCGGGGATTCGGTTTCCTCACACTGCCAATCTCCTGGGCCTGCAACTCTCTGAGTTGGGTATTCACTCAGGTGGAGGAGACCCTGCTGTCCAGGAGGTAGCAAATGCAGCCCTACAGCTGTTGGTAGAGTGCAGGACCGGTGGGGTGCAGCATGCACCCCTCAAAGAGCTCGCACCAGGAAACATCGGGAAGGTGACCCTGAAGGAAGAGCTAAGGACAAAGGGGGGGGCACCGGAGACCACACAAAGGCACGGAAGACACCGGGTGCAGCTGTCACTCTTGCAGAACCACGTGACCCACTGTGGCCAACACAGACTTCTGGCTGCTCTCTACGTCTCCACCACTGTGGTAGCCTCCCCAGGCTGGGGAGAAGATGGGAGGAGAATGGCTCGGTTATGCCCACTTGGAGCAAACTTGGGCACTCTGCAGACAGACGAGCTGGTTCCCAGTCCAGCTTAGACAGGGATGGGTCCCCTAACTAAGATCGAACCCAGGTCCTCACCACCTGCCTTCCTTAGCAGATCCTGTTCTTCAGTCACTGGGGGCTCCAGATGCTGAGGTGGAGGGACCCTTGATGCAGGGAGGTGCCTGACCTCAGCCCTGAGCCAGCTCTTCCCTAGGGAGGCACAGGTTAAAGGACAATAACAAAGCCCCCAAGCATAGAGAAGAGCTACCAGTGACTCCTGCCTCTCTCCCAGAGGCAAGGGGCCTGTGATACGTCCACCTTGTCTCTCCAAGGGCCCCCCAGGCTGGGCAGAAGCTCACAGAGGCTGCTTTTCTCTCGTTATGATTCCCACCCTCTCCCAACTGCGGTCACTCCCCTAACTGATTAAAGGAGGGTCACTTTCCAGGCCCCCCGTGTCCCAGTGTCAGGACCAGATTTCCAGCCCTGGAGGTCACTAGAGCCAGGAAGTGTCAGGAGGCGGGGGGGGGGGGCTGCCAGGATCACCCCTAACGGGGGCTTCTCTCTGGGAGGTGTGGTGGGTGACCCCAATGCTATCACTCACAAAGCACTCTGGGCACGGCATTGGCACCCACAGCAGCAGTGCTGGTGCCAAGGCACCGACCCCACAGTGACCCAGGGCTGATCACCTGACTAAACAGAAGAGTAAAGAGAGAGTGGATGAGGACCCAGAAAGGCTTGAGCCCAGGGGGCTCACCCACCGCAGCCTGGAACCAGCCACACCAGAGCCACTGTCTCCACCTGCGCTGTGCCCCGCTCCACCCTGCCCTACTCAAAGGTATCAGGAGAGGCTTAGGAGCCGGAGATGGCCTGCTGCCCTGGAGCCCTGGTGTTGGATCCTGGCTCTCCCTAGCTCATCTGTGCTCTAACATGGTGGCCTTGAGGAGGGAGGGACAGGGAGTGGATGGCGGCAAAGGGATAGATACACCAAGAGCCATCAGGCCACAGGACTGTCAGTTTCAGGAAGGCAGCTCCGCAGGGTGTGGTGGGTAGGGCACAAACCGGATCCCTGAGCCCCCGCTGGGGTCTCACCACTGGGGAAGGAGTTGATGCTTTTATCCCAGCTCTGGCCCGTGCTTCTCGGTACTCAGTACATGCTCCACACAACACGGGAGTCTGCTGCCCGGAAAACCAGCATCCAGACAGTGGTGGTGAGGAGGGCTCCTGGAACCCCAGTATGTGAGAGGCTGATGCAGGAGGATCAAGAGTTCAAGGCTAGCCTCAGCTACATAGCAAGGGCAGCCTGTGCTACCTGATACCTGTCTCAAACAACAACAACACAAAAAAAACTCTGGTACCCTGTGGGATGATAAGGATAGTGCACCCCAACAATCCTGGCACTGGGAAGGCTGAAGCAGAAAGAATGAAAATTCAAGTCAGCTTTGGGTACACAGACCCTGTCCCAAAATCACACACACACACACACACACACACACACACACACGCACACATGCACTCACGCGCATGAGTGTCCCATCTCATTTCTCCCTGCAATGTCCAGAAAGCTCCCCGGAACCCACCAGACCCCAGAACTGGGTTTCTCTAAGGCCACCAGTTCCCAATGTTCACAGCTGGGCCTCCAGCCCGGCCACTCCCTCAGTGCCTTCCAATAACTCACGCCACTGTCCCCCTTGCCTGAGCAGCTACTCCACAACCCCAGCCACACCCCCAGGTACTAGGGGCTCTGGGAACCAAGTCTCCCACAAATTAAGTCCAGGGACCTTTCTTTACCCGTGTAAACATCCATATTCTTTGCGGCAGGACTGTACACCCACGAGCCCTGCTTAAGCACCAGCCTCTGGGGGCACAGCCGAGTGGCAGAGCAGACACAGAGCATAAAGCCACAGGGTTCATCCCAGGCGCTGGCCCCAAAGAGACAATACCAGGTACAGCCCCAAAACCAGCTGTGGAGCCCCCGGCATGGCGACTTACAGAGAGTTCTCTGAAAGGAGATCCTACCCGAGACCCAGCAGAGACCTAGAGCTGGGGGCTGCGGGGTGGTTCGAGTCTCAGTGGGACCTGCCTTCTCCTGCCAGGCCTTCTCCGAGACATCCTAGCAAGCTCTCTGCCTAGCGGTGGGTCAGTGCCTGCACCCGGACTTGACCCCAGGGCCTTTGCACCCCTACCCCTGCCCTGAGAGTGTCCATCACTCTCTGGGAGGAAGCTGGGCAGCTGCCCGAAGGGTTGGGACTCCACCCTGGGTGTCATACTGCTTACATTTCCTCCTGTAACCGCCTACTCAGATACAGCAGGGTGATGGCCAGCCACCTTCTCAACTACCCTGAACCTGCAGGACAGCGGTCACAAGGGCGCTCTCCAGGCACTGCAAACGGAAGGTCCGCTGAGCCACCCTACAGACCCCAGAAAAGGCACCACCTGGCTGCCTCTACACCAGGCCTGGATGGCTGGGTGGCTCCATCCCAACCCAGCTGTGTGACCTTGGACAAGCCTCCTCCCCTCTCTGAGCCTCTGCCTAGAAGCTCTGCCTTGCGCGGCTGCTGAGGACCAGCGTGGCCAGGTCCCTCCTGGTGACAGAGGCAGCTCATAAACAAGGATACAGGGGCAGCAGAGGCCGGTCCCATCCCCCACAGAGCCCACGCTGGAGGAGCGCCCGCTGCCTCCGCTGCCGGCACCACAAGGGAAGCCGGACAGGACTCGGGCACAGAGAGGTTGAGCGACCTGCCCAAGGTCACACAGCCCAACGGGCGCCGGGAACGGAGCAGGGTTCCCGACTTACCAGACTTGGGGTAGGTGACGATCCACACGTCGCTGGGCCGCACCGGGAAATCGGCGATGTCCTCCATCTTCCCGCGGCAGAAGGGCGGCAGCCGCACGCCATGGAACTCGAAGTACTTGCTCTCGAACTCGCCCGGGGTGCCCGGGGTCTCCGCTTCGCTCTCCGCCATGCCGCCTCCCGGCCCGGCCCGCAGCTCCAGGGCGTGACGTCACGGCGCCGGCGCGGGGCTCCGCGGGCATGACGTCATGGCCGCACCCACGCACGCCGCGCCCTGTGACGTCGGGCGCCGAGGCCCCGCGCTTGCCGCAGAGGTGCGTCCGGGTCCGTGCAGCCGCCTGTCAGTCATCCGCGCGCAGGGTCAGGGCTTCTCGCCCTGGAGCAGAAACGGGGCGTCTGCGCAAACCCAGGGCGAGCCACGGGAGGCGGGAAGCCTCACCTCCAGAAGCTTCCGATGCCAGAGACGGAAAAGCCCGCGTCAGAACGCGGCTGACAAAGGCGGCCCTTGGAGAGCCTGGAATCGGGTGCCGGAGAGGACTACCCCAGGGAGAACCCCGGCAGAGAGGCCCTCAGAAAGGAGACCTCCGGGCACAGAGGACCCCGTCCCCCGGCAGATAGGAACCCCAAAGTGGGCCTCTCCAGGCCGAGAGGACCAGACCCCCAGCATAGAAATCTCCAGGCAGGGAGTGATTCGCCCGCCACAGAGGACACCCCAGGCAGAGGAGATCCCCCACCCCCATGCAGAGAGGACCGCTGTGTCCCGGCAGAAAGGAACCCCAGAGTGGACCACCAGGCAAAGAGGACCCATCCCCACGCAGAGGGGACCTCCAGCAGAGATGGCGCCCTTAGGAAACCCCCCCAATGAGCGTCGACCCTCCAGGTGGCGCCCTCCACTTTCGTACGTCTGTATCCTCCTGGAGAATGGGGATTCTATTTTCAGGAGCCACAGCTGGGGGAAGCCGCTAACAAGAACCCAAGGGGCTGGGAAGCCCCTTAGGAACAGAGACCCTGCCTAGCTGGTGTGAACCCCTGGGGTCAGTTTCCCAGCGTTGGAGAAAAGGGAAACAAACACTGGGCTCGCAATGCGCTTGTGATCCCTGCAACTGGAAGGTGGAAACACGAGGATCAAAAGTTCAAAGCCAGCCTCGCTACGTAGTGCGTTGAAGGTAGTCTAGGATACCTGAGAGCCTTTCCCAAGACAAGGGTTCAGACAGAGCAGGTTGGCTCTTTCTATTGCCTAGTACAGGAGACTAGAGCCTGGGTGCAGAGACGGGGGTCAGGACCTGCCTGTTTCCCATACAGAAGGGCATTGTGGAAGGCAATAGGGTGACACAAGGGGACCGCAGTCAAAGGCTGGGCCCCAGAGTGACAAACTCGTGACTATTAGAGGTGCAGGAAGAGAGTACAGATAAAGACCCGCTACTAATGGAGGCTCTGGGCCGTGTCGCTGTCCGAGGTGCTGAACGCTCAATGCTTGGCCCTCTCCGTTTGGCCCTCTGCAACCCAGCTTCGCTAACGTTCTGTTTTGTTGAGGCATATTATCCTATTTCTCTGTATTATTAAAAATCTTAGGTAAGGGCTGGCAAGATGTAAAGGCTCCCGCCACCAAACCTGCGACCTGAGTTTCACCCCCATATCCCAGGTTGTGGAAGGAGAGAGCAGATCCTTCAAGATGTCCTCTGACCTCCACATAGTTGCTGTGGTACAATCACACACACACGTGCACGCATGCAAGCACGTGCACATGCACACTAAATAAATAGATAAATTGGTGAATATTTAAATGAGTAACTGTTACTTGAATGTAGAAATGTGATTTAAATTAGTGTGGTTTAAATACATGTAATTTAAATAAACAAATAACTTTTTCTTAGGTTTGGAAACGCCAAACATATGCAAAATCTAAGAATGAGATAACTTTTAGGCACTTGTCACATCTCATCACATAATATCTATTATCAACTCATGTTTTATCAGGTTATGTGTGCATGCATGCACGCACTGGGTATTTGTGCATTATCTCATCCATGCATACTTACTTCCCTGCGGACCTCTAAGAAAACACACTTCCCAATGCAAGACACAACCTCAAGGTGTTAGTCAGGATGATCTGATCAGTTAGGCGTGGTGTCACACTCCGTCACCCCAGCATTTGGGAGCTAGAGGAAAGGAGAGTCAGGAGTTTGGGGTCATCTTCAGCTACACAGTGAGTTCAAGGCCAACCTGGGCTACATGAGACTGTCAGGGACCAACAGCAGCAGTGACTATTGTGAGATGATTTTCACTGTGAGAACCAGTGTTCTGTGTGTGATCCCATAGCACAATGACATCCATTTAAAAGAAAAAAGAAGGGCTGGGGAGATGACTCAGGGGCTAAAGTGTTCTCTGTGCAAGCATTGAGACATGAGTTTGAATCCCCAACACCCACATAAAAAAAATGCTTGGCATGGCTGCCCATGCCTGTAATCCCAGCCTTGCGAGTCAAGATAGATGGGTCCCAAGAGCATGCTAACTGACCAGTCCAGCCAAAAGGATGTTTCCACTTCAGTGAGAGATTCTGTCTTTGGCAACAAGAAAAAGGGTGATAGAAGACACCCCAAGTCTTCCTGTGACCTCTGCACCTGCACACACTCATGCATGAAACACACGCGCGCGCGCGCACAGCCTGGTCATTAGAATGTTTGCCTAGTTCCATTCCCAACACCACATAAACAGGGTGTGATAGCACACCCAGCATTTCTGTCATCCCAGCGGGTCCCCTATGGAGTGAGGAGCTGACATGGAAGGGCATGGCATGGGGAGGCTGAGCAACTTTTGGCATGGAGGCTATGTCCATGATGAGATACAAAGGACAGGGATGAGAATGCTCTCAGGGATGTTCTGAGAGTCAAATCCCCTGCCCCAGAGCCCTAGTTGGTGAGGGTGAAGGGACCTCACAATGGCATCTGAGAGTAGGAGCTGGGCAGTAACCCAGCTCAGAGGGGACAGAGCCTGGCCTTCTGGAGCCGCCTAACCCCAAAAGAGACAGCCCCACCCTGATGTGAGGATTGAGTTTGTGTCTGGCTCACCTGGAAGACATGAGAAACAGCAAGTGGGTGAGACTGGATCTACCCTGGGTCTGCCAGAAGGGGGGGAGCCTCTTGTTCACACCATCTGCTCTCATGGTCCTCTCAGCCCTGTCTATACCACTGGCTCACACCTCTGAAGTTTCAAGAAGTTTGGTGTTTTTTTCTTTTAGATGTGTTTCATTGTATAGCCCGCAATACCCTGGAACTTGAGATTCCCCCTGTCTCTGCTTATAGGCCGGCACCCCAAAACCCTGCACCGGCTTTTCATTCATTACTTCATCCCTGCCCTAATCCAAGTTCCTTGGCATTAGGGATAGAGAGAAGGCTTCCTGCTCCTGCAGAGGACCCAGCCTCCACATCAGGGGTCTCACAACCACTTATAATTCTAGTTCTGGGGATCGGATGCCAGCTTCTGACCCCTGTGGGCAGCTGCACACAATGGTGCACATTTATTCACACAGACACATGCTTAGTAAAAGTAAATTTTCAAACACCTTGGTGGTATGATATAGCCTGTGGCTCTCAGCATTGCCCTCCAGCCTCTCACCCACAGCGGTGGCTGTGCTGTGACAAGGGCTTCATTCTCTCTGCAGGGCCTCTGCACCTGCTGCTCCCTCCAGGGCCTGGCAGAAGTCCTGGACTCTTGTCAGGTCTCAGCTCAACAGCAGCCTTCTTGGAGCAGCCTCCTGACAGCCTGGTCCCTGTGGCTCCCCACTTGGGTTTCACATCCGCCCTCACTATGTTCTCTTCTGAGGACCTTTGGGAGGGCTCGTGGCATCATTTCCCATCTGTGTTCCATCTGAGAGCCAAACGAATGAATGAATGATACGTGGTGAATAGATGGTCAATGTATGGATAATCAAGGGATGAATTAATAAATGAGTAACACATCGTCTCTCCTGTCTACTATTTATTACTTAAGCTCTTCTCTTGTTGGAACCTCCATTTCTCTACAGACCCATCTCCACTCAGGCTGGGTGTTCCCTACAGTCTGGTCAGGGGCATAGTGTAGATTCCTCAGGAACAGAAGAAACAGAGACCCCCAAGGAGAGGCCAGAGGAGGTTTGGTATGTGTGGTACCCAGAAACCCTCCCAAGGAACCAGGTTGCAGTGGCAGTAGGTCCCGTCCCCATCTATGACCAAGACCCCTCCCCAAATGGATCCCCAGCTAGGCATTTTCCATCTGCACTTGTTACAGGGGTCAACTCTTCAGGGGAGTGCAGACCAGGGACGGGGGCGGGGAGCGGGCAGAGCAGTCACTGCCATGAACTGGGCCTTGGGGCACCAGTTCCAGTCCTGTACAGAGTGGAACACACCTCCGCTGGACACCTGTGCCCTGTGTCCCCCACATGGAGCTCCAGTACTGAGATGTGTCTTAGCTTGTTCTGTCTTTTCTCCATGACAAAATGGGCAGGAAGAGGGCAGTGGCCTGGGCACACAGTAGCCTGATGACATCCAGAGAGGCCCTGGAAATAAAGGTCCCAGGAAGGGCTGCGAAGAGCCCACATCCCCCTCCAGGAAGCCACCTGCCCGCACAAGAAGCACAAGGCCTGGCATGGGAACAAGGAGCAATTTCCCCGAGCTGGGCTCAGAGCTCCTGGGGGATGAGCCACAGCCAGAGGCAGACATGAGCACACAGGATGTGGCAAGGACAGGATTCGGGGGGGGGGGAAGGGGGGTCACGCATTTGGTTGGCCTAGCCCAGTGCACGATCAGCAAGTCTGAGGTTCAAGGCCCGGTTCTCGGAAGCAGCTGTCCCCCGCTGAAGGGGACCAGAGTCTGCGCTGGTGACAGGTGGGCTAAAGAAAGAGCAGGAAGCGTGTGTGAGTTCAAGGCCTGGAGTTTGGTAAAGGCAAGGTGTACCACAGGAACCCCCTTACAGGGAGCGAGTTACTTCATCCCCAGCCCTCTGAGGAACGTCTCAAGCCCTCAGCAGAATCAAAACAGTAGAATATCAGAACTCCAGGGTGGCTTTTCCTAAGAGGACAGGGGCAGGAGAGTATGAGTACACTGTCTCATATATCAGGGAAGTTGTCAGAAGACAGGCCAGTAGTCCCTAGCCATATAGAGCCAGCCTTGAGGGATATGGTGAGAATTGTACCAA